TTCAAACGGCAATTAAATACTATGAGCAAGCCTTGGAAATTGCAAAAGAACGAAGAGCTCAAGATCGGGAGACAACGGCATACCTTGGGTTAGGAGATATTTATAGATTAAACAATCAGTTTGAAACGGCAATTAAAAACTATGAGCAAGCCTTGGAAATTGCAAAAGAACGAAGAGCTCAAGATCGGGAGACAACGGCATGCCTTGAGTTAGGAGATGTTTATACATTAAACAATCAGTTTGAAACGGCAATTAAATACTACGAGGAAGCCTTGGAAATTGCAAAAGAACGAAAAGATCAAGATCAAAAGACAACGGCATACCTTAACTTAGGACAAGCTCATAGATAGAACAATGAATTTCGAACGGCAATTAAATGCTATGAGCAAGCCTTGGAAATTGCAAAGGAACTAGAAAATAAACACAAAGGAAATATTGCGAGAAATGCAATTGAAGAATTGTCAAGAGTTGCAGGTATGTTTAGGCATTTGAATGTCCTGGTTGGTTAGGCCATGGTTATATTACAAAAATAATATCTTCAAATTTTCTGCAAATTAACAAAAATGTGTTCGGTTCAAGTGAATTAACTTGAGATTATCTTAAACTTAGTAAGAATTATTTGAGTTCCTGTTTCGTTGAAGCTATATCCTGCACTCAGGCGGCGATGGCCAAGCTTGCATGGAAACTTAAAACTGGCCTGACACAAGAAAACCTTTAAACCCAGGGTAGGGTAACTCAGTATATAATTCCAAAAATTAAGCCCGAGTTTAGCAAACCGTCGAATGCAGCTGCCCATGGACATAATGGGATTGGATTTGTATCTATTTATAGCTTGGCTAAGTATAACAATTTTCATACACGCAAATATTTATGCAATGCAAATGCGGAGATACAACAACAGCTAAAGCCCGGTGCCCACTATGTGCTTAGCAAAATGTCATTCGTGACCGATTGCGTGTGCGGTGCACTAAATCAAAAAAAGATTTAGAACTTATTGACGAAATTTTTAATCTCTTTTCAAATTCATAAAAGTCGTGCAAGTGATATAGGCACTTTAATGATGATTATACGATAACAGTTGAACAGAAGGCCCAGTGTAAGATTAGCGTTGCTAAACTGGTTTTTGTATAATTGCACCTTCTTTAAATAAAGTTTATTATTATTATTATTATTATTATTATTGTTATAGCGTTCAAAACTCTAATTCATCAGACGACGCTCAACTTCATGATGAAACTGTTGATGTGGAACAAACAGACATGGAAAACGGACGTATCACTGATCATAGAATTGCTTCAGCAGAACAATTATTAATCTTGGGACGTTCTTGCCAAACGGAAGGCCGAAAGGAGGAGGCCATCAAAAGCTACGAACAAGCAGTTCAAATTGCGGATGAAGTAGATCACAATGACATCAAAGCAAAAGCTTATCAACACTTGGGAAACGTATTTACTGGAACGTCCGAGTATAAGAAAGCAATCGAATATTACCAGAAAGCACGTAAAATATCTCCACGGCTCAAAGGAGATGAGATGGAAGTACTAGCATATTAATGGTTAGATTACAACCACCTGCAAGCTGGTCAGTATAAAGAATCCAAATAGAGTATTACAAAGAAGTGGTAAAACTTGCCTCACACCTTGGAGACAAAAAGAGGTCGCTTACACTTAACGCTTATCTAGGATTAGGAAATGCATTTAGTTATATTGATGACTTTGAGTTCTCGCGAAAGTATTTCTTGAAAGCTCTCACAGTAGCGGAAGAAATGAATGACAAAACTCTCGAAAAGGAAGCATATACAAACTTAGGACATGTATACTACCAGAGTTGTAAGTTTGATGCTGCTGTCGAATCGTATCTCAAAGTTCAAGAAATTTCTCGTGATCTTGGTGAGAGAAAAGAAGAAGCCAACGCCTGCCTCATGCTCGGTGACATCTTACAAGAATTAAAACAACACGAGAAAGCCATTGAATCTTACCAAAGGACTTTAAATATCAGTGAAGAATCAGAGGATAAAGAAATGCAAGTAGTCGCAATTCAGAGATTAGGAACATTATATTTAACTTTGGCATCAGTTTGTAAAGATAATGATTACAATAAGGCGATAAAATGGTACAAAAAGGCGTTAGATAATTCTGGAAAGGAGCCCATTGATCGCCTCCTGCATGAGAAAGCTCTAACTGGTTTAGGAGTTGCCTGGCTTACTCTTGGAAATAGTGAAAAAGCGATTGAGCAAATTCACAAAGTTCAACAGTTTTCTAAAATGGATGCCGACATGGGTAATCATTATAATCGTTTTCAGTTAAAACACAAAACGTTACTTTGTTTTTGGTGATATATTTTTCGATATTTTAAATAAGATGAGGTCAGCATTTTCGAATTTGAGATAGATTTTAATATGAGTTGAAGCTGGACTTAGTTTTCGACCACATATTGCATATAGCTTCACTAATTTTGCAGTAATAGCTAGTTCAAGTTCGAGACAAAAACGTTTACCAGGATTTCCAAGTCCGAGTGCATTTTGAAAAAGCGAGACGACGGACCATTAGAAAAGTGATTGGGGGGGGGGGGATTTTCTATAAAAGAGGCAATATTTTTAGTTTTTGTACCCCTATAGGAGAAATGTATTTTTAGTGAAATTTATAGGCCTATCTTCCAAGCTCGGAATTTTTTTTTTGCACTATGCCTGGGAAGATTTTTTTCCCTAATATTTTTCTGGGGATAAATTTTTTTTTGGTTTTGCCCCACCCCCCATCACTTTTCTAATGGTCCGTCCCTTATTAAGACACGTGGACTTGGAAACCCTGATAATACGATACGATATGATACGATACCATACCATACATTTCTCCAGATAATTAACAACTATTCACCGAAGTGGAGGTGAATAGTGCAAGAATATTCACCGAAACACGAAGGGTCGAGATGAAACTTAATAAAAAAATAATTGGTAAATTTTTCCAACACGAAGAGTGTTCGTAACAATCTGATAAAACACTCCTGCTCGTGTTTTAAATAGTACAACTTGTATTTGAATCATTACTTCGAAATTGAAGCTACAATACAATATGTAGCAGAAAAATAAGTCCAAATCCTACTCGTCTTTAAGTCATGTATTTGAACTCACTTTTCAAACATTGCAAATTACATAGTTTTAATTAAAGTACTAAAACTTTGAAATGATCTTAATTCTGATTTCAAAGCACTGTAGTATTTTAGAATAAAATTTCTAATAAAAGTGTCCTGTAGGACGTCTTTCTCTAGTTACGCATATACACTATAATAATTAAATATTAATTTATTTAATTTTGTTTGGGGTCATGAATTATGACTTTGACAACATTTCTTCCATTACACAGATTCTCTCAACGTTGAACCTACACACGAGCACATAACTTCTACAGTGCAGAAACCATCGTCCTTACCAATACCAGGTAAAATTGATTATTGCATTCTGTTTTACCTTCATGGTTGCTTTATTTTCATTTTTGTACTTAAAGTATGATTGCACAACTGTGACAGTAAGAAGATACGTTGAAGTATTTCATTAGAATCAGTGCAACGTTTCATATTTTTATTGATAATGGGTGCACCTTATATAATAGGTGCTCTTTTAATTATTCCAAATATGCCATTTTCAGATATTTCAATAGGTGCAAGCATGATTTCCACTTGGAATTATGCTGAGGAATAAAACCTCCTTCGTTGCGATTTCAGTTTTAAAATGTTAGTTTTACCTTTTATACACAGACTCCTATGGGGTGGACATTCAAGGAAATCCTCTAAGCAAAAAGCATACATCGTCGTCGCAAGTATAGGAGTTGAAATTCTTGAAGGCTTCATATATAATTTTACGATTAAGTGCAACAAAACAGTCCCTTTTGTCTGTTTAATAAATTTAGTTTTTCTAGTTATTCATAATAAGAGAATGTTTTCGTGGGCTATGATTACAATGAACATGGGCTATCACGACAATTAAACGTTCCAATGGTTATTAGGCTATCATTGCCGGCTATGATTACAATAAGTTGCACTATGTTAGATAGTTCTATCTCATTCGAATAATTTTATATCAACTGATTCAGGTGTTAAGGAAGAAAACGCTCTCCTGCTTCAAGAGACAGAGCCAGTTATAGGTAAGAGCCATTGCTCATCAGTAAAACAAAAAATACCATTAAAGTTAAAGTAATGCAATAAAATTAATCGTTTAAGTCGTATTGATACATTTGATGAATAATCAAAATCTGCTTTCTATAAACATTATGAATTTACTTTTTTAATAAATTAAATTTTAATTGCATTCCAGACGTTGTTCCTTTTATAGAAACAATGTAATTATATTTCATAAGGTTAATTGTGAAGGCAATTGATAACTATCCAAGAAACCTGTATAAATATCAGACGAATTGCCTGTTTTCGAATTTAATGTTTTCGATCGTTCTTTCCTGTTATTGGTCTTTGGTTTATTTAGCAATTTCACCTGCGAAGTGACGCCATATACAGGGTGTATAAAAAAACTGAACAGATATGAATTTGCTCTCAATTTCGCAAAACAGCTATTAGTATCCAGTTTTTGATGTATATACAGCTTCCTTGTGTACTTATATTTATGTCAAATAAAAAAATACTTGGTTAGCGTCACACTCTCACAAATTTTCAGAGGCGGGCGGGCGTT